TCAAATGCCCATCGATGATAGACTGGATAGGGAAAATGTGGCACATATACACCATGGAATATTATGTAGCCATCAAAAACGATGAGTTAGTGTCCTTTGTAGGGACATGGATGAACCTGGAAACCATCATTCTCGGCAAACTGACACAAGAGCAGAAAATCAAACACCGCATGTTCTGACTCATAGGTGGGTGTTGAACAATGAGAACATATGGGCACAGGGAGGGGAACACTACACACTGGGGTCTGTTGGGGGGAAATAGGGGAGGGCCAGTGGGGGGCGGGGAGTTGGGGAGAGATAGCATGGGGAGAAATGCCAGATATAGGTGATGGGGAGGAAGGCAGCAAATCACATTGCCACATGTGTACCTATGCAACAATCTTGCATGTTCTTCACATGTACCCCAAAACCTAAAATGCAATAAAAAAAAGATAAGAACAATCAGTTCCAATAAAACCTTTTCGTGTTTACTAAATTATACTTCTCCAGGTAGATGAAATGCTAAACCCTTGAGTGGCATGCACATTGTATTTATACTTTTCAAATGTTTACTTCCATTTTACCTTGCAGGGTCTGACATTTACGGTCTGGATTCATTTGTGTAGTCAGGAGTCCATGGAACAAAGATGATTTTTAAAAAGCAGATGGATCAGCTCAAAATTCAGAGTGAACTCTCCGTAGACCTATACATGACTTTGTTCCATATCAATATGGAGTCCATGAGGGAAGGTGTTTAAAATTGAGGCATTGGAGGAAAACAAATGCAAGAGTCTTGCTTTGTAGTTCTCTGCTTTACATTCCTGATTCTGCCTGAAAACACAGAAGAAAGGATCTTTCTGTGTCTCCTTGGTCCATGAAACAGCTCTTCTAATCTAAAGGTAGAGGCCATTGCCCTGATTTTACTGGTACAGTGATGAAGAATAATGTACTGAATGTTGGGTAGGGTTAGGTACTTTCAGCTTTCATATCAAAATTTTCTCAGGAATACACAGTTTTTAAATCAGGTCTGGCTTTAGGGGAAAGGAAGCAAAGGAGATTGGATAATGTGATACTAGGTAATAGATTGCCTGAAATCACTGAGCATAGCTTCTGGCATACATAGGCACCATTATGTCATTTATTTTTTTTAAACGTGGTGCCATCACTAGCCCTCTTTCTCTGTGTTTTTGGGAAGAGTCAGGAATATAAAGCAGAGAACTGCAAAGCAAGACTCTTGCATTTGTTTTCCTTCAGTGTCTCAATCTTAAATATCTTCCCTCTTGGACTCCAAATTGAGATGGTACAAATGTGTCTATTACAAAAGGAGTTCACTGCAAATTTTTAGTCCGTCCATCTGTGCTTTTTAAAATCATCTTTGTTCCATGGACTCCTGATTATACAAATGAATCCAGGTAGTAACTGAATTACTAGTAAATCTGCTGGGTAAGTTGATAGGGTTGCCAACAATATGCATAAATACTACCTTAAGGGAGGTCAAAAGCATCTCTTCTGAAGAACAGCCTAAGAGTTGGTTATATTGAATATTTTTAGATCTAAATATAAGAAATATGAATTATTGAGAGACTACAGAAATTTTTTACTGATGCCTGAATAGCTGCCTCAAGGATAAGTCCTATGCGAGAGGGCCAATTAAGTGGTTTAAACTCTGGCCTCAATTTGAGAAGCGTTGTGGCACTGGATGTAGGGTCTTCTATGCAGAGCCCACCAGCAACCTCATATAAGTTGTTTAGGGAGGTGCTTCCCATGTGCTGCAATTGCATTCAGCTGCAGGAGGTCAAAGGGCCTGCAAAACAGATGCCATCCCTTCGACTTTGTCACAGTTATTTTCAACAAAGAACACAGTGAGTGAAGCAGAAACTGCTTTTGAGAGAACAGAGAGGAATAGGGAAACCTTCCTTGGCAGCACAATGACTAATTGTTTCCCCTTCACAGAAGAAAGGCCAAAAAATCCCTCAACTGTCATAAGCACAAGGAAAAGGTTTTCTGACAATTGTGTGTCAGGGCTGGGGAGCAAATTTGTGATGTGGCTGCAGAATCTTTCTCCTCATGGGTTGGCTAAAGGGGGTGCCGCCTTCACTGGCAAGGCAAGGCAAGGCAGGCAGAAAATTGAGAGTGACCGAGCATACCCTTGGGGTGAATTACTGGTGTCTGCTTTCTATAATGCAGATAATTGCCTCAATTCCCTGCCTCCCTTTGAAGTTAATGAAGAGTTGGCTAAGGCCTGCTTACCTCTGGAAAGGACTCAGCTTGGTTCTGGGCATGTGTTCCACTGGTGAAAATCACAGGAAATTCACAGAACACACTGACATTCTGTTTTTCAGGTTCAAAAAGAATAAGCATCCCCTGCTTTGAAAGGACAACAGCTGAAGAAGTACAAGAAAGATGCTGTTTCATGGCCAAAAACTTAGATCGCATTGGAAACATTTTTTAAAACATGCTTAAATTGCTTTTCACACCATATAAACAAGGCAATTAGAAAAATAATTAAGGGGAATATCATTGCTTCCACAGTTAATGGGGATTTTTTTTTGATCCTCAAATGCAAGTAAACTACCTTCTCATGTTTCACATGACAGATTCAATAAATGAAAGAACATTTTCACTTCTGATGTTTAAAGAAATGAATTAATACTTGATCTTTTGTCCATATTTCCACTTAATGGGAGGACTCATAGAAGATATCCTTAGACCAGTCACGTTCCCTGGGGACTAGGGCATGTTGGTGAGTGGTTTTTACTGAAGTTAGGCAACTTTGGCTTGATTCACTCCTAAATCTATGTATATATACTGTGAGCTGGCAGTGATGAAATAGAAGTCATAACATCTCCTCAGCATTGTGATATACATATAACCAGAGTCAATTTGAACATGTAGGCAAAATTCTCCTAACCAACACACATGTAGGCTATATGCAGGTACACACTTTAAACATGGAGGTAACTTCACACAAGACATTCAGTGACAGGTAATATGCTGGATTTGTGCAGTGCCAATTTAGCTAAGTTGGAAGAACATGTCCCGGAATTCCTCTCATGGTTCTGGATTGGCATGGGTCATAAAGAAATTTGCACTGATTTGACAGGCAAAATCAGCATCTATTTTATGCTCATAAGGTCAGTGTACAGACCCAAGCATTGTGACAGCTTGAAAATATGACTCCAGGCCAAAAAGGGGAGCTACCAGAGACCAGAGACAGCTCCCTGGACCCAGAGCTCTTCCAACTCCTGCCAGCCTCCTCCTTCAGCTTCGCAGAGTCCTGGCCAGGTGTGCGTGCAGCTCCATGGCAACCAGCAGCAGCTCTTCCTGCGACCACCCACGGCATTACAGTGGAGGCCGAGACACAGACATGGGTCCTATTTGTTCCTATGGACTTCCCTTCATCCTCGCTGCTTGCACAGCCGACCAACAGTGACTTCAGGCCCCAACCAGATGCAGAGAGAACAGCCTGGCATAGACTTCACCAGCAGCTACAACTGCGTAAGGTTGAAGCTCTATAATAAATCTTAATTCTGTCATTCTCTGGTTCGGCCTCCCTGATCCAAACCTGACTCATATGGGTAGCTTGAAGATTAATTCAGGGACTGAGTGGTATCAGGGGATCCGGGTTCATTCTTTTCTGAATCTCTTGTTGCTGTAAGAAGGCTTCAGCAGTTCTGAGCATTTTCTCCTCATACAATATCCTGTTTCTTCTTAAAATGGAGAAACATATTCTCAGAAACAGACCTCTGGAATACTTGTCCTACTGAGGCTTCTTTACCTGCTTATGCTGAGCCAGTCTAGTGGCAAGAGGACTGCAATTTCCAGGGCTGGCTGAGACAGATCAAAGTGGTGAAAAATCAGGGTACCATTTAGGGCAAGGTGAACCAAATTTGAGTTTTGCGGTTGGCGGAGAGGGATGCACTGCCACAGAGTGAAAACTAGCAGGGATGTGTGTCAGGCTGTATCCAAAGCAGTTGCTCCTTATTACCATCAGTCTCAACCTGATGAGAAAACACAAAATGTCTAACAAACATGGAACTTTACTAGTTATTTTTTCCCCACCGGAATAGTAATTTTTTTAAACTTCAGTAAAATATAAGTTTGGAATTACCCTTTAATAAGCCAATATTTATATTCAGGTAACATCTCTATATCCCAAACCTTTTCTTAGAAAGTTGCTATTGTCATATTACCAATCCTAAAGTCAGGATGCCATTGTTTCTCCACACCCCAGGCACATACTCAATAAAGTCAAACTTCACACTGGGGATACATCCCGTTTTATTCTTAAGTATCATATCTCTCACTTGGACACAATTTTTAGAAAGGAACCAAGGTTAAGGGGAAGCAGAGATGGCAGACACTTAAATATTTTTTCATTGGAGTTTTTCTTCACAATAGAATTTTTTGTTTTTACCATATCTAACTTTAAAAAATTTTTTTTTACTTTAAGCTCTGGGATACATATGCAGAACATGCAGGTTTGTTACATAGGTATACATGTGCCATGGTGGTTTGCTGCACCTTTTGATCCATCCTCTGGATTCTCTCCCCTTGTTCCCCCAACAGGCCCCAATGTGTGATATTCTCCTCCCTTTGTCCATGTATCCTCATTGTTCAGCTCCCACTTATAAGTGAGAACATGTGGTTTGGTTTTCTGTTCCGTGTTAGTTTGCTGAGAATGATGTCTTCCAGCTTCATCCACATCCCTGCAAGGACATGATCTCATTTCTTTTTATGGCTGCATTGTATTCCATGCTCTATATGTACCACATTTATCCAGTCTGTCATTGATGGGCATTTGGGTTGGTTCCGAGTCTTCACTATTGTAAGTAGTGCTGCAGTAAACATACATGTGCATCTGTCTTTATAGTAGAATGATTTATAATCCTTTGGGTATATACCCAGTAATGGCATTGCTTTGTCAAATGGTATTTCTGGTTCTAGATCTTTGAGGAATCGCCACACTGTCTTCCACAATGGTTGAACTAATTTACATTCCCACCAACAGTGTAAAAGCATTCCTAGTTCTTCACAGCCTTGCCAACAGCTATTGTTTTTTGATTTTTTAATAATCATCATTCTGACTGGCTTTCTTAATACTTTGCTATTTGTGGTAACCCATCACAACACTGTAGCAAAAACAGAGTTAACTACGTACAAGGTATAGGATTGTGAAACAGAGATCAGATGATAAAGAAAATTGGACCAGGACCAGGTGGCAGTTACATCACAATTCAGAATTTGCTTTCCTTATAGAGTGAAAACCTTGATCAATTAAGTCATACAAAAGCCTGGTTATAGTGACAAGTTCACAAGCATGAACATTAGACTGTTCCTTTTATATAAATTGATGACTAAAATGAAGGGAAACAGATCAAGTTAGCTGAGCTTTCCCTTCTTCTCTTGCTTAAAAATTTTATGAAAACCTAAATTTATTAGAAGGTTGGTTAGCAAGATGCCAATTGAGCTAGAAGAGTTCACATTATCTTCATAGCTAGTCACTCAACTCTACGAGCCTGGTGTGGTCAGTTGTAACCAACTTCAGAGATGTCAATTCTTGTGTTATAGGGCCCTTTTCCTTAGCAATCTTAAAGATACAGACAGTTTTACTCTTTGGCATCCCTAAGACTCATCCTAAATCTAATTGGTTACCCTGATATAACCATTCATATAAAACTAGACTAAAATACCTTGTCAAATCAATCGTCTTGGTTTCCAGCTTCTAGAAAACTTTTTAACCTTTCCACTCAGGTGACTTCTGCTCTTACCTGCTCTCTCACCCATTATCAGTTGATCATATTGGGAATCAGCCTAGCGATGCATTTCTTCCAGATTCTTAGTGGAGAGCTCACTGTAACCTCCTGGGCTGACTGCAATGTGAATGTAAATGAATAAGACAGCTCTTTGCGAAGTTAAATTGGAATCCTTAATATCCAGGCATTTATACTCAATGCAGGTAGTGGGTCAGTGAATGATCCTTATGTCTTGAAAAGTAAATCTGATACTAGAAAACGGTTACGAGTCTTTGCAGTGGTAGAATTCTCCAGTCTGACAGGCCATTGCCTGGAACTGCAGTGAAGAAAGGGGAGATGAAGTCACTGGATATTGAGGATGCTTGTCATGAGTTGTCACGGTCTTGTCCTGTCTCATTTCCTGTACTGGCTGGACATTCTGAAAGAGGCTACAACCAAGAAAAATGGACTGTAAGTATCGTTGCTTAAGTCAGAATAACCATTTATATCTTAAATATTTAACAATAGTAGTGTTTTGGGGTGGGAGGTAAGAAGCTTTAGGCTATTGCTTGCATCTGTAATTACAGATCCATGAGACCATTATAAAATAAATCTGAGTCTTATCAGTTAATTTTAATGTCCTTACTAGCTGTTTCAGGGTTTTTAACAGTGGGAAAAACAAGTTTACCATACTCCTGGCCCTTCTTTATATTCCAATTAATGGAATACATAAAAAATAAAAGGAATGCAGTAAAAAGGAAGTATACAATCAAACTATAATTCACAAGTGAATTATAGTTGTGTTTCTTTTCACTTGTATACAATGCCATGTTTCATGCCTCTATCAGAAGTACATTGGCTCACCCTCACATGCAAAATGCCATTGGAGATCTCTACAAATAACAATAGGAGACAAGAAGAACAACCATGTATTTAAGCAAGTAGAGCCTATTTCATTATAGACATTGGGAAAAGCCTAATTATATTTTTCTTGCTATATTATCCTGCAACCCCTCCTGTTTTTTTCTGTATAAAAGTCTTGTGTGATAATATGTGAATCAGTCAGAACTTCGATTACCCTTTTAAAGAAGCATTTTCATACTATAAATGGTTTGATAAAGGAAATAATGCCTTACCATGCTTTCATTTTCATTACCAGATGCATTGGTAGCTCTCCCATCAGCACAGACAGGATCTCTTTCTACAGGAAAAAATTAAAATAATTTAAAATAATTTCTTTGCAAACACCAAAATTCTCCCTTAGTCTTATCTCAATATACTTATGTTATTAGATTCATCTTAGTTACTCTACCTTCATGTCTTTAACAAGCAACATGAAAAATGCATTCAGTGTAAAAACACATCATTAGAAGCAGCAGCAAATGTGTATGGTTGATCCAAGTGCTCCAAAGCAGGGGAATAAAGGCAGTTCAGCCAGCCCCGCAGTTCCTGGCTCCTTGTGATCCTTGGCCTGGTTCCTACCAACTGCTAACAATGGAAATGTATAGCCAAAGAGGGGAGGAGAGTGGTGGTTAAGGAAAAAGGGATATGTCATTTCTCAAAGAAGGCCTCCTTTTGGACTTTCCTAAAATATGGCCCTTTAATACATATCCTAGACAAAGTGTATTTTCAAACAGTAATAGAAAAGGGAATTTAAAAATAAAACATAAACCACAGTCATGAAACTACAACCAGGGAGCTGGAGCTAGGAAAAGTTTTGTGGCTTTTCATGTAACTGCTTCAAATATATTTTCAGGCCATCTCATTGCAGAAGTATGGAATCTATTTTTTAAAGTGGCCAATACTGTGACAGAGTTTTTACCCATATCTTTTGACTGCTCCTCAGAACCAGAATTCTTCTCTCAGCCATGGAGGCTGACCTCATTGAGCTCCATCAGCAAGGTGGCTGCTCTTCCTGGCTTCTAGTTGGGTTGGAGATCAGAGACAGGGAAGAGTGAAATTAGGTATTCACTCTCCAAGATTTTTCTCACGCAAGTTCACCTTGATCTGGCCGTGTCCTTCAGTTGAAAGTCACTCTGATTTTTTGAAAGGTTTTTCATGCCTCTATCGCCTTCAGTTCTGCTCTGATCTTAGTTATTTTTTGTCTTCTGCTAGCTTTTGAATTTGTTTGCTCTTGCTTCTCTAGTTCTAATTGTGATGTTAGAGTGTTGATTTTAGATCTTTCCTGCTTTCTGATGTGGGGATATAGTGCTCCAAATTTCCCCGTAACACTGCTTTAGCTGTGTCCCAGGGATTCTGTTACATTGTGTCTTTGTTCTCATTGGTTTCAAAGAACTTATTTATTTCTGCTTTGATTTCATTATTTACTGACTAGTCACTCAGGAGCAGGTTGTTCAGTTTCCTTGTAGTTGTATGGTTTTGAGTGAGTTTCTTAATCCTGAGTTCTAATCTGACTTCGCTGTGGTCTGAGAGACAGTTTGTTATGATTTCTATTCTTTTGCATTTTCTGAGGAGTGTTTTACTTCCAATTATGTGGTCAATTTTAGAATAACTGCTATGTGGTGCTAAGATGAGTGTATATTCTGTGGATTTGGGGTGGAGAGTTCTGTAGATGTCTGTTAGGTCTGCTTGGTCCAGATCTGAGTTCAAGTCCTGGATATCCTATTAATTTTCTGTCTCGTTGATCTAATACTGACATTGTGGTGTTAAAGTCTCCTATTATTATTGTGTGGGAGTCTAAGTCTCTTTGTAGACCTCTAAGAACTTACTTTATGAATCTGGGTGCTCCTGTAGTGGGTGCATATACATTTAGGATAGTTAGCTCTTGTTGCATTGATCCCTTTACCATTATGTAATGCTCTTCTTTGTCTTTGTTGATCTTTGTTGGTTTAAAGGCTGTTTTATCAGAGACTAGGTTTGCAACCTCTGCTTTTTTTGGCTTTCCATTTGCTTGGCAAATATTCCTCCATCCCTTTATTTTGAGCCTATGTGGGTCTTTGCACATGAGATGGGTCTCCTGAATACAGCACACTGATAGGTTTTGACTCTTTATCCAATTTGCTAGTATGTGTCTTTCAATTGGGATATTTAGCTCATTTACATTTAAGGTTTATATTGTTATGTGTGAATTTGATTCTGTCATCATGCTGCTAGCTGGTTATTTTGCACATTAGGTGATACAGTTGCCTCATAGTATCCTTGGTCTTTATATTATGGTATGTTTTTCCAGTGGCTGGTACCAGTTTTTCCTTTCCATATTCAGTGCTTCCTTCAGGAGCTCTTGTAAGGCAGGCCTGACAGAATCCCTCAGCATTTGCTTGTCTGTAAAGGATTTTATTTCTCCTTCACTTACAAAGCTTAGTTTGGCTGGATATGAAATTCTAGGTTGAAACTTCTTTAAGAATGTTGAATATTGGCCCTCACTCTCTCTTCTGACTTCTAGGGTTGCTGCAGAGAGATCTGCTGTTAGTCTGATGGGCTTCTCTTTGTGGGTAACCCTCACTTTCTTTCTGACTGCCCTTAACATTTTTTCCTCCATTTCAACCTTGGAGAATCTAACAATTATGTCTTGAGGTTGCCCTTCTCAAGGAATATCTTAGTGGTGTTCTCTGTATGTCCTAAATTTGAATGTTGGCTTGTCTTGCTAGGCTGGGGAAGTTCTCCAGAATAATATCCTGAAGTGTGTTTTCCAACTTGCTTCCATTCTCCCTGTCACTTTCAGGGATGCCAATCAATCGTAGGTGTGGTCTTTTCACATAATGTCATATTTCTTGGAGGGTTTGTTCTTTCCTTTGCACTCTTTTTTCTTTAATCTTGTCTTCACGCCTTATTTCAGTAAGTTGATTTCAATCTCTGATATCATTTCTTCCGTTTGATCGATTTGGCTATTGATATTTATGCAGGCTTCATGAAGTTCTCATGTGGTGTTTTTCAGCTCCATCAGGTCCGAGGTTAGTTCCTCTCTAAACTGGGTTATTTTAGTTAGCAGTTCCTGTAACCTTTTGTCAAGGTTCTTAGCTTCCTTGCATTGAGTTAGAACATGCTTCTTTAGCTCAGAGGAGTCCATTATTACCCACCTTCTGAAGCCTACTTCTGTTAATTCATCAAACTCATTCTCTGTCCATTCTGGTTTTTCCTCATGTTCATGTATTTATCTACCTTTGATCTTTGAGGCTGCTGACCTTTGGATGGGGTTTTGTGTGATGGTCTTTTGTATTGATGTTGATATTATTGCTTTTTGTTAGTTTTTCTTCTAACAGTTAGGCCCCTCTTCTGCAGGTCTCCCGCAGTTTGCTGGAGGTCCACTCCAACCTATTTGCAGGGTTATCACTGGTGGAGGCTGCAGAACAGCAAAGATTGATGCCTTCTCCTTCCTCTGGAAGCTTCATCCCAGAGGGGCACCAGTCTGATGCCAACTGGAGATCTCATATATGAGATGTCTGTCAACCCAGGAGCTGGTTTTTTTGAAAAGATTAACAAAATAGATAGACTGCTAGCCACACTAGTAAAGGATAAAAGAGAGAAGAATCAAATCAACAAAATAAAAAATGATAAAGGGGATACCACCACTGATCTCACAGAAATACAAGCTACCATCAGGGAATACTATAAATACCTCTACGAAAATAAACTAGAAAATCTAGAAAAAAGTGCATAAATTCCTGGATACCCTCCCAAGACTAAACCAGGAAGAAGTCAAATCCATGAATAGACCAATAACAAGTTCTGAAATTGAGGCAATAATTAATGGCCTACCAACCAATAAAAGCCCAGGACCAAACAGATTCACAGCTGAATGCTACCAGAGGTACAAAGAGGAGCTGGTACCATTCCTTCTGAAACTATTCCAAACAACAAAAAAAGAGGGACTCCTCCCTAACTCATTTTATGAAGCCAGCATCATGCTGATTCCAAAACCTGGCAGAGACACAATATACAAAATGATGATGATCATTGATGTGAAAATCCTCAATAAAATACTAGCAAACCAAATCCAGCAGCAAATCAAAAAGCTCATCCACCATGATCAAGTCAATTTCATCCCTGGGATGCGAGGCTGGTTCAACATACACTAACCAATAAACGTAACCAATCACATAAACAGAATCAATGAAAAAAAAAAACACTTAATAGATACAGAAAAGACCTTTAATAAAATTCAATACCACTTCATGCTAAAAACTCTCAATAAACTAGGTATTGATGGATTATGTCTCAAAATAATAAGAGCAATTTATGACAAACCCATAGCCAATATCATATCGAACAGGCAAAAGCTGGGAAGCATTCCCTTTGAAAACCACCACAAGACAAGGATAGCTTCTCTCATCATAGTTAAACATAGTATTGGAAGTTCTGGTCAGGGCAATCAGGCAAGAAAAAGAAATAAAGAGTATTCAAATAGGAACAGAGGAAGTCAAATTGTCTCTGTTTGAAGATGACATGATTGTATATTTAGAAAACTCCATCGTCTCAGCTTAAAATCTCCTTAAGCTGATAAGCAACTTCAGCAAAGTCTCAGGATACAAAATCAATGTGCAAAAATCACAAGCATTCCTATACACCAGTAACCAACAAGCAGAGAGCCAAATCATGCGTGAACTCCCATTCACAATTGCTAGAAAGAAAATAAAATACCTAGGAATGCAACTTACAAGGGACGTGAAGGACATCTTCAAGTAGAACTACAAACTGCTCTCAAGGAAATGAGGACACAACCAAATGTAAAAACATTTCATACTTATGGATAGGAAGAATCAATATCATGAAAATGGCCATATTGCCCAAAGTAATTTATAGATTTGATGCTATTCCCATCAAGCTACCATTGACTTTTTTCACAGAATTAGAACAAATTACTTAAAATTTCATATGGAACCAAAAAAGAGCCCATATAGCCAAGACAATCCTAAGCAAAAGGAACAAAACTGGCGGCATCATGCTGCCTAAGACTATATACTACAATGTTACAAAAACCAAAGCAGACATATAGATCAATGGAACAGAACAGAGACCTCAGAAATACCACACATCTACAACCATCTGATCTTCGACAAATGTGACAAGCAATGGGGAAAGGATTCACTGTTTAATAAATTATGCTGGGAAAACTGGCTAGCCATATGCAGAAAACAGAAAGTAGAGCCCATCCTTACACCCTATACAAAAATTAACTCAAATTAGAGACTTAAACCTAAAACTATAAAAACCCTAGAAGAAAACCTAAGCAATACCATTTCA